AACATTTTCCAGGAATCGACTAGTACCTAAGATGTGATAAGGGATATCTCTCAGCTTGTAAGCATTTAACCTGGATCGTACTAAACTAGATTCAGTTTAATGGCATTGATAACGTTTGGGACCTTATCTTCTACAATTCTACATTATTGTCTGAATGTAATTGGCTTACTAACTACCAGTAACAAATATTAGTACCTATGACAATCTGGATCGCCAACTTATGGTGCTCTCCGAAACTTGAAAAAGGAAAATTCTTGGTTAATTGTCGTAGAGATTCTAGAAGGGTAGGGTTTTTTTAATGGGGGAAAATCATCGAATGACTGCTCCCGCCTGGGTGAGGCGGAAGGGAGTGTCAGACTCTTACTGACTAAAACCACCCCGTTCCTTCTCCTGCACGTCGAGCCGGAGCCCCAGTTACCCGTTAGGTTCTCCGCGACAGAAGGGTAGGGTAGGACTATCATGTATGAATATTAAGCTATCAACGTAACCCTCGCCTGAATAAAAATATTATCACAGATAAATATAACTTTGATTACGTAAGCTAATAAAAATATATCAGGCCCATTGGTTTTATATAAAAATAAGCATTGACCTGCCTCCTAACTCGACTTTCTTTGATAGATTTTGAACCGTCCTCTGTTTTGAAATAAAGTCGAAAATATGTCGAATGGAGGCAGATAGGGGTAGGTAGTCTGCTGCTGTCTGGACAACGACAGGTGGACGGTAACACCAGTTTAGCCAGTAAATACCTCATGATAAATTTAACCTTAGGTACGACCAGTTGAATTTTTTTTCGAAAATTCCCGTTAAAAAGCTATTACTTACAAGGAAATTCTATTCCTGTCGTCTGATTTCTAATTCATAGCTGAAATGTTTCCGTTGATGGCGTTCGTGACCTTTTACATACCCCAATTTAGTGTAGATATAAAACTAGGTCCAAAAAATGTCATAAGAAAATATAGGGACTTCATGTGAGAACTAAAATAGTGCTGAATCAGATTAATAAGTAACATTGTGCCCCATGTTTTTGAATAAAGAGTTTTGTAGAGGTGGAGAGATGGACAGCAACGCGACTGTCAAACCATAGCAGCAGATTTCAAATATTATCTATTTTAAAACAGTAACACAGAATCTAAAATTGTGCCCGATGTGTGACCATCAACCGAACCTCTACATACCTACATATTACCTACTTGGGCCTTGGGACACTTAAATATTTATCAATAATCAACTGGGTAAAAGGCGCTTATTAATGTGTTCAGTTGTTTTTAACCGACTTCAAAAAGAAAAAAGTAGGTTCTCAGTTGTTACTATCTATGGATGTATATATGTGTGTATGTTTGTGCGCGGTTATCTAGCAATTGGTTGAACCGGTTTTGATGCAGTTTTCAGAAAGTTTTTGTTATACTCAAAAAAAGCTTTCTGTCTTCAAAAAAAGGGAGTTAAGGTCACGGATCACGAATATGTACAGACCAATTTAAAATTTAAGTCTTTGTAACTTTTTCATCTATAAATAATTTTAGGTTATCTGTGGTACGGTACAAACACTCTGAAATCCTTTTCTCCTGAGTGAGCCCAATTTCCTTGTTTTTGTGGTCTATTGTATAAAGTAATTGAAAAACCTTGGGTCGAGTTTCTTTAACGGAGGAACAGAAACATGACCCTACTTGAAACATTCAGATGTCATAAACAGTTTATTTTTTTTGAATTGAAAACTGAAATAAGAGAAATGTTATAATTTTGGACATTTTGTGTACCTAAGTCGTCTTCTTCTGTAGAGACTTCTGATGCAGAGGAGACTTTTATGTAGATAATCTAGATGCAGACTGTTACGGGCTGTTAATAATGAGGACTCTTAAGAGGTTTTCTATGATATAAAATATACCTCATTTACTAATAAAACACAAAAACTATCAAACTGCTACTTACCCCACATTATTGTTCTAGTTCTAAATTAATTATTCTGTTTACGGCTTACTCATGTAATTATTGTCAAATAATTCAGACGAGAAACTCGACTAGTAGACGTCGTTGCAGGTTGCGGGTCGCTGCTCATGAACATGAGCCTCTAGCATGCCTTGAAACTAGTCGAGATCTTCGTCAAATAATTACGTGAGTAAGTCGAAAACACAATAATTAATTATTATGTCTCACTAAAGTTATAATATAAATAATATCCTAGTTCTCTTTATAAATAAGAATTGTTATTAATAAGGTTATTTTTTCCAGTTTACAGATACATGTGTCATGTAATGTAGTTACGTCCCCATCTCCCTGACTATCATTAGCAAGATATAGCTACTGATACAAATTGTACAACACTACATAGAAACTATACAGTAATTCAACTACTCTCTATCTGTACTCCATAACATAACATCACGCCTTTTTATCCCCGAAGGGGTAGGCAGAGGTGCACACAGGAGTAACACCCACTTTTCACTATTTATGTTATGAGTCCCAAGTAATAGGGAGTGAGCCTATTGCCATATACCGTGCCATATATATTTCCAGACTCCGTGCTACTACTAAGATTTTTTTTTAAAACCCAGTAATACTTTGCCCGACCCGGGAATCGAACCCGAGACCCCTTGCCCGGCAGTCGCAGTTACGACCACTCGGCCAACGAGGCTGAAATACTACTTCAAAGATACTGCATAGATGTTATGAAACAAATCTGTATTTTACTTAACCTTCTGCCACGTATTTTGTTGTGATGCGGATCGTGATATCTCCGCAAGTGTGAAGGAAATTAGATTTTTCCGATACGGATATGTGTACTCCAATATTATTTTATAGCTGCTATGAAATAAGTACGGTAATAACATGAACTTTCGAAAACTTGGAACTACGATAAACAAGTACTGATAAAACTTAGAAGGACCTACGTACTAACTTGAGTTGTGATGACCCGGAGGTTTACGACGTCCGCCTCTCATGCATAAGAGTGCGGGTTTAAAACCTACTAGCAGCAAATAACAATGTGACTTTTTCCGAGTTATATGTACTTTCTAACATTATTTAGATACCACTGACAAACGGTGAAGGAAAATATTGTGAGGAAACCTTATAATTTCTAATATTAAGTTTGAAATCGCCAACTCGCATGAAGCAAGCGTGGTGATTAATGCTCAAACTTTCTCCGTGTGAAAAGATATATTTAGTCAGCAGTGGCTAATTATAGGCTGTTGATGATGAAGTAATTACTTTATTTTTTTTATTGTTGTCATTGTAAAGAAAAAATATAGGCTAAATAAATTGAAACTTAAGAAGAACTGAACGACGGCCTTGTATATTCAATGCGGGCACATGCAGTTATTATACACTGCAATGCAGTCACCAAAATAGATCAAATCAAACAACCGATAGCAATATCACAATTTAATGGACAATTATTAAAAATACAGAATATATTAGCTATAATATTTTCGTAAATAACATTTTTTATTTATTATAAGATATAAAATAAGTTTTTAGAAGTTCGTAAATTCCAATAGCGATATATTTATATTTAATTCATATATTTTCATTAAAGCGCATACTGACTTGTTTATTTTGATGAAATTGGGAGCACGGCTCGACTGCTGACACTGCTATGAATAGCATCGTACGAAACATAATCTCTGTGACATGCGATGGAAATCAAAAATGCTACGAGTCAGTAGGCTCCTTTAACAAAGAGCTTTATATATTTCTATAAGTCAACGACACGAGTAATAATAAGTCATAAAATATATAGCGATTATAATTTAAATTTTAGATTCGATTAGCAAATACGAAGCCCGCCTACTGCAGGCCAATGAAAATCACGAGACTCATTCGACTAATGCTGCCCAACAGATACACTCCGACTACAAACGTATAGTACGTACATTCGATATTAAATTATGTAATGCGACGTTTCTGGTAAATAGATTGGAATGCTTAATAATTGAGTATAAAGATATGTATAAGAAATCGCTCTACTAATGACTAGAAACACGCTAAGACAGATTATTTTATTAATTGCAATTTTTATTACCAAAATATAGATATATTATAATATCTAATCGTAGCCCTAAATAAGAAGAAAGTTTATCGTAATAAGGAACTTTATTTGAAAAAGATTAAATTTATTCCAATCTAAAATAGATGCAGGTGATATTTAGAAAATAGCACGTTACTACACTACATATATTATTAAGACAATATTCAGTAATTGTGGCTACAGCGAATACACCAATACAAAGTTGTAGAGTCATCGGCATCATTGTTCCCATTCGTTAATTGATCGCATCATGAAACATTCACGATGCACTTAAATATATTTGTTCGTGTAGTTACCGATCACCTCGGCATGTACAAAATACGCTTTTATATTGGCACCAATCAAATATTTGGACATATTACAAATATAAAGTTTTACAAATATAGACTCGGTAATATTACAAAATTAAATACTAGAGTAACTTAGGTCGCTACAATTTTATTTTTAGTGAATAAAATATCAATGGTAAGATTAATGATCAAAATCGCAAATGCAAATATTCTTATATAAACAACTAAGTAACCTAAAGAGAGATTTGTCATACAGTACAATCAAATATACATTATGTATGTACATTAAATATTCGATGTAAACAAAAGTCAAACTTATAGACAATGAAATAAAATACAGCAGAGGTGGAGGATGAGCGATATAATCCAGCAGAACATGACACGGAAGTAGCAATAATCCCGTTAGACTCTGTAATGTGATGAAAGTATTAGATGTCGCTCTCGAGCAGGCCGGGGCGAGTGCGTCGCGCGGACGCCGTGCCCGTCTCCTCGCAGTCAATCAGCTCGATGTCGTCCAGGTGGTTCGCCGCACCCACACTCTCGCCCATCAGATGTGCTTGTCCGTTTGTATTACTCTTTGAAGTTTTGCTTTTATCATCATCTTCTAGTTTGAGAACCTCAATTTGAACACCTGTTTCATCTTTATCGACCGCCGTCCTGCTTGGGCGACGGTCAAGTTCCTGTCAGGTGGCTTGTATCTCGGCTATCTCGTTCTCCTCATATTGTAAACTCCTTTCAGCGAGCCGGAAGCTCTCTAGAAACTCGTTCAGATCTACCAATCCATCTTTGTTGATGTCCATCAAGCGGCAAATATCAACCAACTGCTCCTGCGTCATGGGATTTGGCATATATTTGCCAATTAGCTGACAAGCTTCCGAGAATTCTTCGAGCGTAATAAAACCTGAGATCAAAATTTCAATAAGTATAATTCAATATACGTAGAATATCATATTTACATTAAAATCGATTATAAGTTTACCTGAGTTATCTTTGTCCAATATTTTGAAAATAGCTTCCAAACTGCTCTTATTTTTGTATAAGGTTTCCACAACATTCGATGAGTCAGTTTTACGACCAATTTTCTGTAAAAGAAATTCGATATTGTAGCATCAGATTATTTATACAACGATTGTTAATGTGACATTGTTGTTTGTAAAAGTCGTTGGCTTTGTTCGGAAGGCCACTTGATCTCGTAACATAAATACTGATATTTTTATATACATTGTATATATTTTGGTATTGAAATTGATGTGTATACTCTATTCGTATGACCAATTTGTGTTACTGTTAGTCTTATTTAACTTACGCTGGAGTTCAAGTCGAAAGTGTCCATGTACCGGACGCGGCGCGTGTCGGGATCAGTCCGTACTAACTTGTCCTTTAGCATTCTCCAGGGAAGCCCTAAATGCGTGGTTTCTTCCATAGCTTGGCACCAGTCACTGATCGATATATAGCCTACAAACATTTATCTCAATAAGTAAACTTTTACGTCAATTAGGCAGGTAGATCCCTAAAGGGTAGCTTCTTAACAAAATAGTACCTAAATGTTTCTCAGTGTTTGTCTTTGCTAGAAACTTAAGTAAAATATTTGTTTGAAAGTTGATATCATATTAACTTACAAAAATGTTTTCGGAGCAATAATATTTACGCAACAAGTTTATTTTACTAACATTTCAGATATAAAGAAAAATATTTACTAACTGCGTAACTGTGTTTGGAAAGTTAGGGAATTGAATCATTCAAAATATACGAACCACTTTGATCCAAATCCATACTACGGAAGTTTGCTTCTAAGGGTCTTCGAACCATCATAATTTGGTTGTGCAGTTCCCTCATGGCGGAAGACTCAACCAGGCCCACTCTCTGTCGGAAAGTCAGCCGTCGAGTGCGAGACACAGCGGCAGTGTACTGGACAAACTGACGCTCCAACGAGTTGCCACATAGCTTCAGATAGGCCCCTTTATTAGACCCCAACTCGTAGTAGTTCGATGCAGAGAAGATTGTTATCACCTGCCACAAGGGAAACTAATTAATGTTGACCGTGAACTTATGGCGTAATCGGCTAGTAAATGTTGGATGTGCCGACGTGGGTTCCTCTCTAACAGCGGGAATGGAACTTAATTCTCCACTCGGGTCTCATTACTCCAAAATAAAGGCAATAAGTTAATTATAATAAAGTAAACACATATTTCTAAATACATATCCCCTGATGCATACCTCATCAAATTAGAATAAGTAGTGATGTAATGAACACGACCACAGTCCACTCTACAAACATTAGCATACGAATATAGTTTTCTATTGAAAAAAGAGGGGAATCCAATTACGTTTTCCAATTTTCCGCGCGTGCAAACTAGCGCTGCACTACAATTATATTGTTACGTAACAAAACACGCTGTTTAAGCTAGATGCACATTTTATGTTGTATATGTCTATAAACCAAGAGAAACGAGCCAACTCACTGATGAAATAACCACGCTTCGTGGCTTAAGAATGAAATGAAGCTGGTGCTTAAATATGCAAATGTGAGTTCTGCCAATTTCGTTTATTACATACTTATGAGAGAACCCACTACACACTCAGCAGTAACAATTTTGATCAACATTTTATGACAGTAAGGAACTGAAAGATATTATCCATTTCTCAATCTAGAGGTAAGATACCCCATGCAGATTCTACGAAAAGTTTGAAGAAAATCAAATTGGTTTTTAATTATTATTGATAGCGTCTCAAGTGTAAGGACGTCGAAATGAACTCTTTTGAGATAATGAAACCAATTTTTGACAGTTATGGGGGGTCGAAAAATCAAGGTAAATAAAATGAAATATCGCTTAATAATTACTTTACAATTTCTAATACCAGATTATACTTACATTTCCGTTGTGCAGTAGCTCATATCCACCAGGCTTGCACTCGTGACTTCTGATAAGAAAGCTCAACTTGTTCTTCTGCAAGAAGTTAGCTGTAACATCTGGACCGAAGTAGGTTCCAGCACCACGAAGAGCATTAGCTACACAACCACCGGTGCATTGTGGATCCGACCAGAGGATGTCGAACACCTAGAAAAAAAATATGATAAATAAAGTAGCTGAAGACTTGATGGTCTTAAGAAAAATAAATTAATAAGTCATTATGAAGCGTTATGTAGAGAACACCATAATATTATTGCGAGTGACGTCATAAAAACAAAATACTGTCTCGTGCTTATATTCTTTGGTAAAACTTTAATCTATTCGGTCGTACTGTTCCAAACAAACATTCAATGTCAAAATACAAAACTGATACTTGATCAACATCTCTGAAATACACACACAATTTCAGAATCCAATTTGTAAATTAAATTACCTACTTAAACGAAAAACGTTACACGCGTTCGCTTTCAATCAAGTTCAGTCAGTTTACATTTTATTCCATCGATCGTTAAATGCGTTGTGGTGTCGCGATAATCAATGCGATGTAAGTACCCGTCAGCCTGTCTGTCTGTCTGTCCATCTGTTCGCTGACTGAGTGACATTCCATGTCCTTCGTAACGCAAATTTGGTGAGATTGTGGCTTCATTAATTAGTTTAATCAACCACATCTGACTATGAGGTGCTAAGTTCACTTCTATGCTGTTGTCTATTATTATTGCATAGGTAACTATTGACTTGATTATGAATACTGAGTAGCGTTGAGTTTCTACTCTATTTATGGATATGAATTATGCCTCTCCTTTCCCTGTCACAGTCTTCCAATCCCTGAATCCCCAACAATCCTCAAATTCTAATCTCCAAAAGAACGATAACACACTTGTAACACCACCGGTGTTCCAGGTGTCCATGGGTGACACCGATTGCTTACCATCAGGTGATCCCTCGTTTACCGGCTAATCCAATAACAAAAATACAATTACTTAGTGGCAATAACTTATAGACTCTTTGCCTTCCACTTCCTCTTTGATTTACAATACCACACAGAGACACTTTGTATGATATTGTAAATCAAAAAATGCGTCGATATACATGTCATACCCCTATGGGTATTAGACGACTATTCGTCTAACACATTTCTACATTTATATTAAATATCCTTAATAGTCGACGATCAAAATTCAATCAAAGGATTCGCCCTAGAAAAGAATACTTGATATAATATAAAAGCAATCGTTCATGAACCTGTCACCGGGGAAATGAATGATCGACAATCATCGTCCTTCGTGGCACAAAAGGTTTAAGTATTAATTAAGTAACTTGGGCCACAGTTTAATACACCGCGAATCCAATGATTAGGCGAACCAATTAATTATTTGTTGACGTGAATTTGGTTGAATAGAGCTTATTTATACAGCGTCGTAATTATTCATTAGAGGATAAATCTGATGAATAGTGTGTAGTCATTATCGAATAATTGAGCCTTTGTTTGCTTTAGTGGAAGATTTTTATTAATGACTTGTATCTCTTAATTGTGGAGTGACTAATATTTTAGGAATGAATTCATATTTGTATTTTTACGTATGTACCTATTTTGTATTTTATGAGCTGAATAAAGTTTGTAATATGTTTCTAGTTGCCTAGCGTGTACACATAGGTACTTAGGTACCCAATGAATAAACAATCAGTTTTCCTTACCCTTACTCAAAGTTTAAACATTTCGTGACCTTCCACGTTTTTCGTTGCCTTTAAATTTATTTCAGTAATTACTACTTGATGTGCATTAATTATCCAGATGAATTTACCTACGTCTGACCTTTCTCTAAAAACTCTAAAATCTCATCTTCAATCCAAGTGATGGACATCACATTTTACTTTGTGATAGTTTATCGTCCAAATACTGAAAGGTTACTCAATTTTAAGTCGCGCTTAAGTACGTTCTGTTACTACAAATTCTTAGTATAATAACACAGATGGCAAGATATTTAAGGGCAACTTTAAACTGAGTAAGTTTTCAGTATTCGGGCGTATTTCCATCACATCGGGTTAGAGTCGTCGACTTATCAGTATCTGTGCATATCTCAATATCTATGACAGTAAACATTCTACGATTCAAGTATTCAGTATACGACACTATACCACCAATGTTGAAGGTATCTTCGTCTTCGTCTGCTCTTACTCAATAACATTCAGTATTATTTTAAATAGTTTTATATCATAAATCATAGCGAATCTTAATCTGGTGATAGAAATCCCGTATCTAAGTTATAGATTTCAAAAGGAGTTATTATTATTTAGTATCACATGTTCATTCATTATTTCATTAACTTCAAATAGAGATCTTTAAATAACTATTCCACTAGCTACATTATCTACTGGAACATTTTCATTCATATACAAAGGCACTATCCTAGCGTCTGATCTAATATAATGTAACCATTTATTACCCTCGAGTACTAATAACATAACTGACGATTTGATAGTAGTGGTAAGATTTAATAAGTATAAATTACTCCTATCTCTATAGTGCGCTCAGTGCTCAGCTCCTATTGGTCGTAGCGTGATGTTTTAGCCTATAGCCATCCTCGATAAATGCGCTATCCAACACAAAAAGAATTATTCAAATCAGACTTGTAGTTACGGAGATTAGAGCGTACAAACAAACAAAAAAACAAACTCTTCCGCTTAATATAATAGTATAAGATTCCATTCTATTCCATAGTTTCCACAAGATACACCCAGAGATTCAAGCGTCCTTGAAGACCAAACGGCAATCCTCAAGTCTTGTAAATCTTGGGCATTATAGCGAACTCTTTCTTTATACATTCACTAGCAACTTCTGCGCATTTTCACCCGCTCTGCTTCACTCCTTTTAATCATAACGTGATGTTATATAGCCTATAGCCTTTGTCGATAAATGGCCTGTCCAGAACAAAAACAGTTATTCAAATCGTACAGTTGTTCCTGAGATTAGCGCATTCAAACAGAAAGTAAAGAAGATCCAACAGTCAAACTTATTTATGCATAGTTTTGTTAGACATGGCGTTAAATTGTAAGGCATATCATGTACCTTTTACTATTAAATAAATAATAATAAATAATAAACAAACAAACTCTTCAGCTTTATGTGGAGCGTTTACTAGGTTAACTAACACCTTTTCCTGGTGATAACAATAATAATAGTTAATGGATAAAGTAATAATAACATAGTACTAGTTTTCCTTTTACCTATTTTAAATGAAAGATCAATACACATACAATTCTATAGCATTAATGAACGCTGTATTCCAATGAAGTATAAATATTTTATGGCAGTAGATCGAACTGATATATTTATACACGTAAACAAATGGACAGTCATTAAACCCCGTATGAATGTACAGCTCGCATTTTTGTCCATAAATCCTATATTTTTTTATTTAGCTCTTGATAGGAGTATGAAAAGAGGTAGCCATTGATTTGTGTGAATGAATTTAACGAAGCTGATGCTTGAAAAGAAGCCTTAATGAAGAGTTGTTTTTGTATAGCATCGTTGCTGTTTTTCTTTATAAGGGTAGGCAGAAATTACTGTTAAAATTATCGTTTGTTAATTTTATGATTTTAATCCCGTTGTACTGAATAGGAAGTGAACTTAATTAATTACCTGACCTTATATTTACTACTAATCAATAGTTAAACCAATCCAGGAGACCAAGAAAGTCTACATTCCCATAAAAAACTCGATTATAAACTGTATCTGCAATCTAAAATATTCTTCACTTCCTAAGTCTTTGGAACTTTGTGAATAAATGGATTTATTCCTTCTGCGACCTCTTCCAATCATTTATAAAATACTTAATAGTATTCTGAAATGCTAATATTATTGAAAATATTCGTCTTCCGTATGATTTAATCCGGTGTTTAGGCAAACTTGAATGAATCTCAAATTATTCTATAACGATGATAAATTGATTTATTTTGACATCACCATTATTGGGGACAGGAGAATCTTAATATAATTCCAAGTATTTAGGATTTCATGGAAACAAGAGGATTTTAACAATCACAGGAAAGCCTACCTTGCTGTAGGTACATACTCTGTAGTAATTAATATTATTTGGATGCAAGCTTGAACCTAGTATTATGAAATTAATTATTGTAAGTACTTGATGAACATGAACACTAACAAACAAAAAGGACAAAACTTAATAAAAAATATACCTACATCAAACCAATAAATCGAAAACAACATTACGTTCGTTGATATCTGATTGGATCACACGACTACCCACTAATTATACATACTACGTACAGGTCACATGACTGAAAGCAAAATAAAACATACCCAGCCACCATTTACTAGTTACAAAAAACCTATAAAAATCTACATAAACTAGTAATGCGACCTATAACAAAACAAAGTTTATGCGTTGAACATAATTTAGCCACATGTTTAATAAACATTCCACCATATTTACGTTATAACCATAAAATTTCCATTCTCCCTGAAACACGGAATGAAAAACGTTCTTTATTGCAGGTAATATGTTTTAACTACTCAAACATTATATGATAGTGCTTACCTAATTAATGTAATACTACTATTAAACGTATTAGCCGTATACCTATTTGAATAGACCTAGTATTTGTTAAAACATTAAAGGGAGAGAGATGAAGTTTCTTGCTCGTTCTTCTCCATTCGAAACTACACTTTGGAACGAGCGCCTAGCTTCACTGACTGACAGATAGACGATTGGATGGACGATTCAGTTTTTGACGTTTCACAAGTGCCTAAATAAGGATTAATTGAAATAAATGCTTTGACTTTGACTTTGTTGAATAGTCGACATTGTAGATTACTAACTACCGATGTGTGTGATACATAAGTAAAGATACACTTTTAAGAATTATTTACTAAAGTAAGTACTTAAGAAAGTTACTAGACTATCTCCTTAGGGAGATTAAAAGTTGACATTTAGGTAAGTAGCTAAGGTTTAAACAAAAAAGGTTTTCTCTACACAATGTATTATTATTTACACGTTATTTTTCGCACTATATACACGAAACAATGTTGTGGTTGCCCTGAGGTTTAAAACACCCGCCTCTCATGCATGCGGTGCGCGCTCGAAACCTACCAACGGCAAGTTTTTCCAAGTTATATCTTCTTTCTA